ATACGAAATGATTACTTAAGTAGGGTTGTGATACTGATTATCGTTCGGCATAATCTCCATATATTTTTAGTCACGTCAGGATGCTGGCCTTTGAACCAGCTCCTTTTCATGCGTCTGCGATCAGTAATTTTGAGTTTCCATGAAAATCAAATATATTTTATAGAAAAGGTGCACAAAATTTCTCTTTTTTTACTCATTTGGTAGCGAATTAAGTCTTTATTAAATTTCGTGCATGAAGGAAGAGCATATTCATGAAGAAGAAGACACGTTCGCTTTATTCGCCAGACTTTTAGGATTTCTGCTCATACCCATCATCAGAGACAAAAGCAGACCCGGGACTCGTCTCTTCGCTTCTATCGGCAGAGCATATTCTGTTTTTAACAAGTTCCTAATTGTCAGATTTTAAGATCCTGAGATTTTCATTCATAAAACACCGGATGGCTTCCTGTAGTTTCAGTCCTAAACAGGGGAAATCTTCACTCATCCATCCGGCGCAGCAGTGCGTGGAACCCAGCCCGGCCCAAGTAGGTTTTCAGGCCGTAACGGGACGCATTTGTCACGACCATCGCTGAAATCCGACAGGAGCTCAAGAACTTTCGAGGACCTAGACTATCACTCAAGACTTCCGCCTTTTGCGACAAGCTGCGAACAGTAGCGCAGAGGCGAGTGCCAGGAATCAGTTCAGAAGAAGAAAGGCAGGCACTGGAACAGGAAGTTTATTGGCCTGACGTTTCTGCTTCTCACTCGAGGCCATCATCACAGACAGTCGCAGATAAAGGTAGTAGAGTTACGAAGACGTAGCTGCCGTAAGACCCTAGCGTACTATATTTAACAGCTCTCGCGATCACCGCAGGGGGGGGGTCGTAATTGCGACGGTGAAGGCTCCTCTGCCCGCGTCCGAATGTTTAATTGCCGCAATTTCATTGTCCGTGTCGGATGTTGACATGATGACTACTCGGCAATTTGATCTGCTGTCACTGGGAGTGATTGGGGGTGGGCGGGGGGAGGAGTGGACTACTGCTGGATACGGAAATAGGAACCCTTCCTCCTTATCCCCGACTATCTCTGATGATATGTTTGAGTGGGGATCCGAAACGTTAAATCAATAAACCCCTTCTTCCAGTGATCGCCCTTTTTGACACTGTGAATATCTGAGTGTCATAGCGAATGGTCCCGTGATTCCCAAAAGATACTGAGACGCAAACTTTTTAAAGAGAAAATCCTCAACAGTTAACGTCCAATCAACTCAGTTACATGCATGGAGAATCTTCGTTTGCTGTTGAAAACTCAGCTTCCGCATTCACACCGAATTTTCATTTTTACGACATTTGGGCTTCTTATGAGATAACGATTATTTCTAGCCAATGAAGATTTACATTCAATGCCGCTATTGTGTTTACGTTTAGCTGAAGGTCATTCACTATTTATTTTACGTTTTGGTCGATTCATAAAGAACGGATTCCGGTTGATTTGATACTTTTGTTAATAATGGCATATTTCAAAAGTTCAGCCACATGAGCTAAATAGCCTTTGTTAAACAGACATGAAATTGAAGACCTCTCTGGAGTATCATATGCTTTAAAACACAACTGGGAATTACTAAAAACTGTTCCCTACTCATTTTAGTAAACACATATGACAAGCATAAAGGTGAAATATCAATCAGCCTTATCTCGATAAGTCTCCTGTGAGAAATTCTCCTAGCCTCTCATGTTCGAATTCCCAAGGTGACATGTACGGTTCAGGAATGGGCAACTTTATCGAATTCAATTTTGCTTTGTCGATCGTTCAAGACAGATGCGGGCATTCAGTACGAATTCAGCCAGTTCGAGCCGCTGCGACTCCCATGAGTGTCCAAATCAAAATGCGTCGTTTTGAGTGTTTCATGAAAAACTTCACGTGCATCTTCTAGGGACACACGTTTTCTGCATTGAGAAAAAGCTTTGTTCCGTTCAACAGAAATCTTAATTAATGTAGCGCAGCAGGACTACGCATAGTCTTTCTCGGCATTTTAGGGATCGGATAGAAAGGCTATCAGTTTTTCTCTTTTTTTCTTTTTCTCTTTTCTTCCTGTTATTTACATGCGGTTACATACCGGAATATATGGAGATTTTTCAAGCAGAAACTAGAATAGTGGAATAAGATTTTGAGCAAAAATGGCAATTCAGTGGAACTGACTTACCGTTTAATGTGAAGCATCAAATTAAGTCAACTTTGTCGTTCTATGCTTGAATCCATGAGAAGTTTTTTGTGCTTTTCTGAATATTGCAAAGTTTGACCTATGTGTTCTGGGAGAACACAAATATTTCTTTCTACAGCCAAACTGGGGGACATCTCTCCCCTGGTTGTCATGCCCGAAGATAATGTTTATTTTGTTTTGGAGATGTGCGAATTTGTGGTAGCCCTTTGAGATGCCAGACGGATTATTTCTCTGGATTAATGCCACTCGTTTATTGATACTGACTGCAGTATACATAAATGGCCCGGATCCCTACCCGTAGCTGCACGCACGCTTTCCATGTAAGGCAAATCACCCATTTTTATACGCTGCTAATTAGAACCTACAAGGGGTTCATAAATTTTTGCAGTCGATATAGACTCAGTTGTTAACTTAGTGAGCAGTATTAATAAACACACTCGTGTGATTCTGTATGAATGGGCACTTCACGGTCTTGGAAAATTTTTTGATTAAAAACTTTAAAGGGCTGGAAGATATCGCTCCTTCGAGTGAATTCTTTGCCAAATGTATGCGAAATGAGATATTTTTGTGCATTTTTTGCTTTAAATTATATTTAAATTCATTAACATGTCGAGACCTGCGGGAGAATATTAACAACTGAAGTGGACATTTTTTACCGAGTGTGGTTTATGCTGGTAGTCGGAAATTAGTTCACTGAAAACGGAGCTAATGAATACTGCAATCCCCCTCAAGTAAACCTTTCTAGTTGAAAACACATGTCCTCCACGTCGCCTAGCATTTCATGAGATAGTCCACCTGCTGTATATAACCCGATCTAGATATTATGTGCAAAATGACGCACATTCAACTACAAAGAAAGCAATTAAGGGTGATGTTTCAACGGAAGCCTATGAACGGATTTAATCGCCGGAAGTTTTTTTAAAGTACTGGATTTAGTAAACCTTCTTAATACAGAAACCGACTCCTCCTCCGATTTTGTGTCTCTTTTCCACGAACTATAGTTAAGTATACAGAACATCCGGATTAGTAAAATCGCTCTGAAGCAGGTGCGAGCTGATATTTGCTATCACCGGCCTAATTAACTCACGTTGATGACTCACAACTAGGCAGATGAAAAAATCTTCGAGGAAGGAATGATAATTCCATTGAAGTAAGCTGCCACGTATGCAAATGAACGAAAATTAGATGCGGAAGGGTCTGATGCTGTAGTGAGAAGAATGCAAGATTTGAAAAAGGCGAGAACAGTCAGCCTCCCAAAAAGGCAGCCATTATTAAATCACAAGTGGCTTTCTCTGGCCTATCTCACGAAACTTCACCTTAAATACTGAAATATATTTTTAGTTAGAAAGGGTCACTCAGATGCGGCTGCAATAGCTGTTGTCGGGCCGTATAATTATAAAATGTTTCAGTCATGATAGAGCATTGGCCTTCGAATTAGCTTATTTCGGCCACCGGCATAAACCCCGCACGGAAAAAATGATCACTTGAGTAGTATAAAGGTGGCCCATTTATTTTCGATACCCTTATAGGCTTAAATATGTTTTACATAAAATATACACAAGAGTATTCCTTCTTGTACTCATTTGGCAGGAAAGCAGGTCTTTTCGAGTGTTTTGCTCGAACGATGGTTCCCTGGTATCGAGAATCTGCGTGGATTCATTCGCAAAAAAATAAACAAATGTGTCCCCGTTGACTACGTTTAAAAGCGGAACAGAATTTGATCAGTAACAGAATAACCAATAGGCTATGGCTAAAGACTCCAGTGCATTTACAAAAACGCCGAAAGTGCGCCAAATTGGCGAAAAAAACGAGCAGGTGACTGTTAACCTCGATTTCCGCATTGTTTTCAGCAAACGCGATCTCCACCAAACAAAGAATTTTTAATTTAGTCGGCGTTAGGCCAGGTTTTGCAGCCTCCAACATCATCGTAAACAGAAAAACATATTTTGGGAATCTAACTGGAGACACCCAGAAGGAAAATCTTCGTTGTGACTAGAGTTATTGCTGTTGTAAGTCGTCGAACTCAGAAGGTGTCCCTGCCGCTGGACGCAGACAAGTGTATTCTACTGTTGATCTTTCGTAGAGCTTGGTTGGCTCACCAAAGTCAAGGGATTAAAAGCAGAAAAATCGAGCAGAACGGAAAGTAACATCCTAAGCTAATGGACATTGGGCTGGTGGAGTTTTTCGATTTTTCGTGCCCACGAGACTCGGTAAGATGTGGTTGTGTAGCCCTACTGTTCGGTTGGAGCCGCGGTTAAGGCTTAGAGTTGGAGCTGGGGTCGCGGCTAGGGTTAGGGGCTAGGCTCTAGGTTTGGGGGTTAGGGCAACTGTATCTCAACCATTCAAAGTAGAGACGCGCCTCCCCAACAGCTCTTTTTCGCATGCAATTGCTTGACCTCGTCGCCCGTGCGTTCGCCAGCCTCACCTGGAAAAACCCCTTTTTACCACCGGTCCCGCATTGCAGGCGGCTGGGTTTTGTTTACATCAGGTGGGACTACATAACTACATCTGACTCAGGACTTTTCAGCGGACGTTTGGTTGCCTTGACAGCTGCGGCTGTCAAGAGTTGCCACTTTGAAGGAGAACTGTTGCAACTGCCTTGGGACAACCATTACAAAATTAACTACACGAGCACTCGGCACTGTCAACCCCTCGACGCGGCCATCGGCCGATGCCCTCCAGTGGAACCAATCTGCTACCCACCTCCCCTCGCAGAAGCAATCGGAGATGGGCACCAACTCTCCAGCAAAAAACACCGCAATCCGTCGCGCGATCCCGGCCGAAGTTTACAAGCCCCTAACTAATGGACTGACTCATAAAACTCATCCAGGAGATTTGGCGCCGAGGACGAATTCCTCTGGTCTTCACGGGTGCGACAATCGTTCGTCTCCGCAAATGTAAAAGGAATCGGCAGCTCTTTGATAACTGAAGAGACACCTTGTTGGTAAATGTCACCGGAAAGGTCTTCGCACGCATCCTCCTCAAATGGTTCAATGGCCATCTCGGGCAGAGACTTTATTCGAAGAGCCAATGTGACTTTCGACGCCATCGCGGTACCAGCAACGTAATCTTCTCCGCTCACCATCTGCAAAGGAGTTGCCAGAAAATGCGAATCCACCTCTACACTACCTTCGCAGATTTGATGAAAGCCTTCAACACGATGCATTGCTATGGACTCTGGAAAATTGTTTAAAAATTCAGTAGCACTTGGCGATTTCAGCACATGATAAGACAACTCCACGACGGAACGATGGCAAGTGTCACGGAGGAACGGACCGTCTCTGAAACATTTCAGTGACTAAAAGAGAGAAGCAGGGCTGCATACTTTTCCCAATCCACCTAAGCCTTATATTTTCTACTATACTGATGGACGCCTGCCGTGATGAGTGCCCCGGGGCCGCATCGTCTACGTGACCGACGGCCACCTTCTCAACATTCGGCGCCTACAGGCCTCAATGCGCCTCTCCACGACTACAGTCTATGATCTGATCTTCGCAGACGACTGAGCCCTCAGCACTGCGATCGATGAGGATATGCAAAGGAGCACGGAACTCTTCGCTTCCCGCTGCGTCAAATTCCGGTCAACCATCACCCCGGACAGAATGGTGGTCACGCCAGCCGTCAGTAGTTCTCAAATTAAAATTCTAGTTGCATTCACCTACTTAGGTAATGCGCTATCATGCTGCATCAAAACTGACGATAAAATGACTAACCAGATCTCGAAAGTCAGCCAGGCCTTGAGGTGGCTGCGCAATTCCGTATCAAATCGCAGCATTGTCAATCTCAACATCAAGATCAAGATTTACAAAACTGCTACCTTAAAAACGCCGCTGCATGGAGCGGAAACGTGACCAGTCTACAAGAAACAGCGGCGCAAGCTCAATCACTTCCACCTCATTAACATCTGTCTGATACTAAATTTGAGGCAGCAGGATAGGATTCCAGGTACGGAAATTTTTGAACGGACCGGAATCCTGGACGTCCACGCCATGTTGAGGCATTTGCAACTAGACCGGACTGGTGACCTCGTGATGATCGATGATGAGCGCCTAAAAACAACTTTTCTACGGAGATATTTTCACCGGTTCCCCCACACCGACAAATATATCGAACCTGCTGCTACAAGAACACTTTGAAAAACTCCTTGAAGCAATTATAAATCGAACCGAAGACCCGGAAAGACCTCATTTGGAAGAAGAGCAGTAAGGACCGGGACAGCAATCTGTGAAATCAACCGAAACGCCGCTGCGGAAGCCAAGAGAGAAACTCATAATTCCCAGCATGCCGTCGTTGCGCCATTTGGCCTCGTCGGAAATCCCCGGACTTGATGCAGCAACAGCGCATCAGCCGCAGCTGCACCAACACCCACGAGTTCCACGACGGTGCCCACTCTCACCACTGCTGCTCCCAATCCCTGCACCCACCGCCGTAAATCACCTCTACGTCCATCATGTCTGCCTCAATCCCCACGGCGACGACGACTATCACAACCCCTAATTCTGCTTCCGGTCAAAAGGTTTCCGATATCCCATCAACTACCACCCTCACCGTCACCACCTTCTCCTCCATCGATGCGACTTGGCCCCAACCTGTCCTCACTACGATCGCACATTCACCTCACACGCAGGCCTGGTCGGTCACCTGCGAATCCCCCGCACCGCGACGGACGCAGCAGCGCCGTAGCCCCCCGACATTATACTCGCTGCATTGGCTTTTAGTGTTTATATTGTCTCCACACACTCGTTCACTGCATGGGCTTGTTCGGTTACATGTGTTTCTACGGAGCTGACTGCACGGCAGTATTAACACAATTAACACGCCTTGCACATACAGCAGTTCTTGACGAAGGAGACACGATCGCAGGGACAAGAGCTTTATTAGCCTGACGTTTCGGATTCCTACTCGAATCCATCATCAGAGACAAAAGCAGATACGGCTGATTCACATACAAGGGGCTGCAGTATTTATGGGATGCAGTCGCCATGCTACCGTATACATATAAACATTTACGGCTCCCCCCCCCCCCTCATCCGGGATCGTCGCACTCGGTGTGCTGACAGCTTAATGGCCGACATTTGCGTCGTTAATTGCTGCAATTTCATCACGTGCATTGGATGTTGGTGTGATGATTGCTCTGACGCACTGACCCTGGTGTTGGGACAAGTGTTCACATGGGTGCTCCCCAGTGGGTAATTACTGCGCCTTGGCGAAGTCTCAGCACCGAGTATGGAAGGGGAAGTTCGCAGAACTTGTTAATCGACTGGGGGCCAGAAAACCATGATTCCAGTAGATCCCGGCTCACGCGGTTGTCACATCTTTCGATAATTTCGGCCTCGTCGAATTTGCATATGTGGCTGAATCTCGTCGAATGAGCCGCAACTCGAGAGCTGGCGTCATTTCTCCACACCGCTACAGCTTGTTAGGCCGTTCTCGTTCGGAGCTGTCTTCCGGTTTCTCCAATGTATTTGCTTTGTCCGAAACTGCACCATAACCGATAAACGACTCCAGACGTTCCTTGCCGTGGCAGTGGGCCTTTTGGTTTCATCAACTGACGCCTGATGTTTGCCTCCGGCCTCTGTTCATCTCCAACCCCATGTGGTGCGAGAAGGCGGCCAACAGCTTCTGAAGCGTTCTTGACATATGGAAGCGCTCGCCAAACTTTGGTGTCCGTGCGGTTAGGCCTTTCGTCCACTTTGCGTATGCATCGGTTGACAAAGTTGCGCTGGTAGCCATTGGCTTTGAAGACTCGTCAGAGGTATTGTAGTTCGGCAATCTTGTCTTCCGTCTCACTGCAGTGCGTTTCGACACGCCGATGGAGCGTCCTTACACAACTGCTTTTGTGGCTAAATGGCTGGTTGCTGTTGAAGTGCAGCACTTGCATCGTATATGTCGCTTTCCTGAACACTTTGGTCTTTAGTCCACCATAATCTTTGCGGCATACGAAAACATCCAGGAAGGCCAGCTGGTTGTTCTCTTCCTCCTCCATCGTAAATTGAATGTCGGGGAAGACGGCGTTGAGATGTTCTTGGAATGTCAGCACCTGATCCCGTTCGATGACGACGAAGGTATCATCCACATACCGGGCGCAGAATTTTGGTCTGTGGTGTTGGAAGACCAGCGACTCTAGCCGTTGCAGAACCGCCTCGGTGATGAACCCCGAAATCGACAACCCCATTGGTGTGCACTGCACCTGTTCGTAGATTATCCCGTCGAACGTGAAGTGCGTCCTGAGACAGAGTTTCAGGAGCTGAAGAATTTGGACGTGTCTAAGATGATTCTCTGTTTCATCGTATTTGCTTTGTGGTAGCAGCTCGATTATCTCAATCGTCAGGTCCTGGGAAAAAGAAGGAAAAAGGGATGTAACATCAAAAGATATCATGACCTCATTTGGATGGAGGCTTGCCCCTTTGAGTTTCTCCAGGAATTCTGCTGACGAAGAGACCGTGGTGTCTAACTCAGCGGTCAGGAATTTGAGACGCCGGAACAGCCACTTAGTCAGTCCGTACGTAGTAGTACCTTTGAGCGACACGATGGGTCGGAGAGGAGCGCCGTCTTTGTGCACCTTAGGGAGGGCATAGGATCGGGCCAAAGCCGTATTTTGGGGTCTCGCCATGCGTCTGTTGGTCGGTGTTATTGCACCTGGGTTCTCCAAGGCGAACAACGTAGCATTAATTTCGCGTGTCAGCACTTTTACAGGATTTGTTGCACATGAGACACAGAACTGTCGGTCCTTCAGTAAATCCTTGGCTTTTTGAAGGTAGTCTGTCCTGTCCAGTACAATCGTGGCGCGTCCTTTGTCCGCTGCCTAGATGACCAGGTCTTTGTCGAACTTGAGTGCTCTAAGCGCATCACGCTCGACCTTGGAAAGCACTTCCCGCGGCCTGTGGGACATTAGGAGAGACATCACTTGGTGTCGGATGAGGCTCTTAATCTCCTCCGTTGCCTCCGTCTGACAAAGGATTGATTCCACTACTGCAATCACGTTAACAGGCTTGGCATCAGCCGTGTTAAATGAAGCTTCGTGCCGTAAAACCTGCATATGATCCTTCGTCAGCTCCTCTGACGACAGGTTGTGCACCAGTTTGTCGTTTCTGGACGACGTTGGATTGGGCAGATTTCGGAATTTGTTCTCCAGTGCTGCGTCGCGTATCATTCTCTGTTCGCGGGCTTGTTCAGCTATCCTCTGCAGGAGCAGATTTGTACCGATCTCACCCATGAACTCACAGAATGTGGTCTTTTCTTGGTCAATCCTTTGACGGTACTTGCGAAGTCTCGCGTGGTAGTCTTGGAGGAGGACTCGGATCATCCTTCTGCCGTTCTGAAATACTGCTCGTCTCGTCAAGTCCGTGTTAACGGGGGGCTTGTAAGAAACACATTTCAGTAGCACATTATTGTCCAGACACCTGTGCAGACACCGAAACTGCGAATACGTAGAGGCTTCCCAAAGGGCGGCCAATTAATTGCTCATCCATCAGTATGGAAACCTTTAGCAGCACCACCACGGCATATAAGTGAACATCTCTCAAATTATTCTGTCAAGACTTTCACCGCACATTCACCTCACGCATGGGCCTAGTCAAGCACATGCGAATGCTTCGCACAGAGACTAACGAACAAGCGTTGCATCCACCCTCGCCGATCGCACACATCGGTACCTGTCTTGTAAGAAGAAGTAAACCTCTTCATTCCTCTCTCGATGCGGCGCCCCCACTGCATATGAAATCCGGGTTGGGACGGAGGGCAGGTTGTGAAAGTCCAGTGCCACCGTAAAGGAATTCGCACGCGATTCACTGTCCCTGCTCTCACCTTGCTGCGAATCACATGGTAGGCATCCTTGGGAATGACCGTCGAAAGGTCGAATGGTCACAAGGGCACTAATGGACATGCCGGAGATTAGACTTAAACCCTTAACCCGGAAGGCATTGCTAGGGTCTTCAAACACGCTGTCCGCTATCCTTAAATATGCTGAACTATCCCATAGTACGCTTGGCCGTTGGCGAGCGACTACCTTAGGTCTTGACAAATCCGGAATAGAATGACTGAGAGCTGACGCGTGGTACTCAGAGTCCAATCCTATCAACAGGCTACTTGAACTTCCCGAGGCTTATAAAGTCCTCCGTCACTACGTACACGAAGAGCAGGACAAGATGGTCACGCAGAAATTACGAAAGCCACGCAGTCACGGCGGGACGGTAGAAAAGGTGCCACTAGACCGGAGAATGAATGACTCCTAACGCACGCAGCGGTCAAGCCCTTCAAATGTCCGCCAAACTGAAGAGGCAGCTAAGGAGGAGTAAATTCTGTTGGTTCGGCATGTCATTTCCCATTCTGTCTGCTTTTTGCATTTGACGCCTTGAACGTATCGAGCTGACCATCCTCCACGAAACGTGAGTAGTTCAATAAGTTTGCTTCAGTTAGTCCCTACTCTCTTTAAAATAATCACCGCGACTGTCTCAACTTTTACAGGCTGAACCGCCGAATGTCTTAGATCTTGATCACGGCTGATGTTGATGATATCTTTGCGATTGCAACCACCGAAATCGAAGTTGCTGCCCTCCTAAATGCCGTAAACCGAGCGCATCCATCGATCAAATTTACGTTGGAGATGGAATCTGCCGGTTCGCTTATTTTCTTAGATGTCCTTCTAAACAGGAGATCTGACGGTAGCATCCGAAGGAGCGTCTATCAGAAGAAGATCTGGTCTGAACAACACACGAACTTCGCTAGTTTCGTACATGTCCTACAAAAAACAAAACCCAGTCAGATGTTTAGCACAAAGGGCTAGAAACTTTTGCTCAACAGATAGTATCGAGGAGGAACTTAGAAAAATCTAAGGGCTTGTTTCGCGAAAACGGGTATCCTGACAGGTTCATTGCAACAAACCTTGCCGAACGACCCACAAAACCCACCACACTGACCGTCGAAAAGAAAACGTTGTTCATCAAAGTCCTTTTCCAAGGAGACGCTGTAAATGAACTCCTAAGAAGACGCCGTGACCAAGTTGTCTCGGCAACCTTCCTGGCAGCAAGGGTTCGCATATCATTCTCTACTAACCCTATTTTACGCGGAGAAGGCAAGGATAGGCTGCCACTTCAGACCGCCTCAGTGTGCATCTACTCATTCACTTGCTCCTGTGGAGCAGGTTATAGTGATCGTACGAGTCGGCGTCTATTCTAAAGAATACAAGAACACCTTCCCTAACTGTTAGTCACAGCTGAAACTAGGAGAATAGACAGCGCCATACTTGCGCATACAGTGGATTCAGGGCATCGTGTGGATCCCGCTGAAGCATTTCGTGAGATTTATAAGGTCCCCTCGAGCTACCCTAAGCTACTGGGCCAGCGCCTGTTAGCAAGAGCAGAAGCGGTCGCCATCAGGTTACGAAAACCGACCCTATGCGCTCAAAAGAACCTCGTTCAGGTTTCGCGCTTACCATGTTCAAAGGTTGACTAACCACATACAACTTTCTGCGCCCTTCCGCTCCTGCCTAGACTGTAGTTTAAAAACTAACTTTTATTGATTCTTTCACTCATTGTACCCCGTCCCATATAATTGTACTGTCCTGACGAGAGTTATCGAAAACAACGTTCGCTCACCACTTTGTCTTCTAAATAGCATAAATCCCTATTCCGAAATCGAGACTTACGTTTAGGCTATGCCATAATAGTGGACTCCGAACAGTCCACAAGAACGATACTGCAGCCGTGAAAGAATGGATAGAAAAGCAAATTTACATTGAAGAAAGAAAAAAATACCAGCCCACCTTATACCCGGCGTGAAAAATCTTAGTTAGTAGGAACTGTTAAACACTCCAGACACAGCTTCCTTTTTTATTTAGCCTTTTCGGGAGTTTGAATGCACTCAACCCACACTCGCAGTCTGCATTTTAATGTCTCCTGGCTGTCCCTGCACATTTGCATCCAAGGAGTTCTGCTCATGAAGCCGTCCCCTCCTCCGGCTGGCCAGCGCTGACTCATCAAATCTAATTAAGTGACCTGAAACATGGTCAATCCGATCTAACTAGCTGTTGCCTTCCACTGCTTGGTGCCTTTTCTTCAACGTCCATCCTTTCACCGGTAGTCTTGAAAAAAAACCATCTGCTTGTCAGACGAAACCTTAACGGTTAACTTGAAACGACGGTCTATAGGAAGGCAACGAACACCACACAGCTCCTCAGTTTTCGCAGCAACCATCCGGTGGCTCACAAACGAAGTTGTGTGAAGACGCTCTTCAAACGGATCCAAACTCATTGCAGCAAACCAGAGGACAGAGCACATGAGACCTGTTATCTCCGCGACCAGTTTGCACAAAATGGCTATCCAAGGGCATCGATAAGTCGCTGCCTACGCGGTCGCCACCAGAGAACTCGAACATCAACGCCGCCGACGATATGGCATTCTCTGCCATACATCAAGGGCGTTTCAGAAGCGACAGAGCGCATTGCTGCGGAGCTAGGTGTTCGAATTGCACACCACCCAAGGCCACCATGCGCAATAGAGTAATGAAAATCAAAGACCGGTTAAAGCCTGAAGAGCAATCTGGATTAGTGTATCGCATTCCGCGTCAAAATTGTCCGTAGAAGGCCTCAATTACGAGAATCGAGGCAGTAGATGTCTCCTGGGTCGGCGCTGCCATAGTTACTTCCATCCCATCCAGAATTCTAGTGCTCGAAAGTGGAAAATCAGGCGTTTAGAGAATTTCTCAGAGTAAACAAAAACAGGAGCGCTGGAAAGCTTAGAAACAAACCATAACTATGTGTCATTAAGTCGAAATTTCCATACATACCGGAGATCAGACACCTCTGTTATAGACAACAATAAAAGTGAGAGTAAACATATGATGAAGGCGCTCCCCTCCATCAAGGGGGAAGCCCAGCGCCAGTTAAGACGACTATACCACAAAAGGCCCTCATCTTATTAGTTCGTGTTACCTGCAACTTACTGATACTACTGAAGATGGACTCTTGTACGAGTCTGAATGCTCAGGACAATTAACAAAGGGTTCCGGGGCTCGAATCTTCTTCTTCACTTATACAACAAAAGGTATACTGTAAATTAATAAAGAAGTTATTGCGAGTGAAAGCTTTTCCTTTAAATAACTCACCGGCATTTTGTTAAAAGTCAGTATTCTGTGGTAGAAGGCGCTCATCGATCGTTCTTACGAAATTTAACTCGTTTCGTTGTGCCTAACCAGCAGCCGCACAGACGCATGATATAGGCAAAATGGCGTCATCGACAAAGACAAGGGAGACTGGAATGGCCATTTCAGGCGTATTAGCCGTCGTCAGCCAGTCATACCCATTCCCGAAGTGTGGAATACCTGCCGTTTACAAATGGACGTTTGATTTTATTGTGCCTGTGCGATTGCTCAAACTTCGCTGCGATTGTCTTTTTCCGCTTGAAAGCGGATTAGAATGCTGGCAACCCGCTTCCAAAGTTTGGCTGCATGCTTCGTTTTCACCATGGACATCGCTGTTGAGAAGGCGGATCTAGAATCCGCGAAGTACAGCAGGTATACGGCCTCATGAAATGCTAGCCGGCATTCTAAAGCGTGTTTTTGACTAGAAACGGCTGCCTAAATACGGTTTTGGTACTGCTTCTTACGCATCATAATAACAGAATATTTGATTCATGTCAGGATACCGGCTTTCGGAACGACCTTCGTTCCGGCCGCCTCCACCAGCCGCCATCTACAAAAGTGGCTACTTAAGTACATAAGTACATCCTCTCGGAGCCGAACTGTCGTCAACTGTGCGTTCAGGGTTTCCAAACTACAAACTGCATACTTTCCACGCAAGCGTAGTCACACATATAGGGCTCGCCAAAGTTTGCGACAGATTTGAACCATGCTCTATACCTAGCAAACGACATCAATAAATGAACATATACGTTGCTGTATGAAAAAAACATTTTTGGTCTTAAAAAATCGCTTAATTAGAACCTTTTCTAAAACCAAAAATACCCTTTCGGCAAATACGAAAATCGACGGAGACTAACTTTCTACCAAATTAGTAAAGAAGGAGTATTTCCGGCATGTCTTCTGTAGAACATTTTTGAATTTATGAAGACATTTATGAGTAATGAGGAAAGTACACACCACTTCAGATAGTCAAAAAGGAGCTCGTTTAGGAGCCGGCATCCTGTCGTGACTGAGGTTTCTTGCGATTATTCTACACAGCAATTAGTATCACGACCCTCCGTCAGTAATATGCCCAAATGGAAGAAAAATCTCGGATTTTCAGCAAATATTTCATGAGATAACACGGTTTCTGTAATATTTTATTTTCATTTGAGGAATAATTATTGC